CTCGGCCAACTGCTTTGGCTCGCAGTACAGACGCGAGTGGACATCGCCTGCCCGGTGAGCCTTGCGGCTCGCCGCACCAACACCGCCACCGTGGCCGACGCCAAGACGCTGAACAAGACCGTCGCTTACGTGCACGGGTCCGCCGATTTCGCCATAGTCATCAAGCGCAACATCATCGACCTGCGCACTTGCACCATTATCTGTTTCAGCGACGCGGCCTTCGCCAATGTGGACGGGGTGAAGAGCCAGTGGGGCATGGCGATTGGGCTAACTCACAAGCCACGGGACGTCGTGGCTGGACGATACGACTTGTGCCTGCCCGTCGCCTGGCATTCGGGCACGGTCAAGCGATCCGTGAAGTCGACGCTGGCCGCCGAGGGCTACGCTACTCTGGAGGGCGCCGAGTCGAGCACGTGGTTCGGCCAGCTACTCACGGAGGCCTACAACCCGAAGAAGACGCTCAAGCAGATCGACGACCTCAGCACCAAACGATCCGGGGAGATCTACAGCGACAGCAACGGCCTGGTGACGCACATCAAGTCTGACGTGGGTCAATCCACGGACAAGCGGTTCCGCATCGTGGCATCGATGATCAAGGAGACGGTGCACCCCAACAGCCAGCTGAAGCTCTCGTGGATATCTACGTGGAGTATGGTCGCTGACGCGCTCACCAAGATCATGGAGACCGGAGTGCTCCTCGCTTTCTTCGGGGCCAAGAAGCGCAACTTTGGCGCGAGGCAACCGCGCGCCGCCATGCTTGCCTCAGTGCTGATGACCTGTCTTGGACGCGTGAAGGCACAGCCTCCCTCGCAGGAATGGCAAGTGCCGATTTCATATTGGGTCTACTATATGACATTCATTGCGATGCTCAGTGGAATCATGATTGGATTTACATTGTTCGCAGCGCTGTGGGTTTGTGGTGCGAAGAGAGATATTTGGGTCTGGCGACCCCAATCCCATTCAGATCGGGACCATCAACAACACCAGCAATGGGTCCAAGGCCGACCACACCGGGCACGCGGACACCCCCTTGCCCGGAGTATATCCAGGATGGGATGGACGATACCTTGGACGTCGCAACAACGTGCCGCCTACCATTCCCGAAGACGCCGACGGAGATGTCTACATGGAGTCGCCGATGATTGCCGTCGCAGCCCAGAGTTCATCATCAGCAAGCGGATAGGCAGCGCCAGCCGCACCGCCACCATCACCAGACAGCTTCGCGCAGGGAGCGAGTTCTGCGCCATCATCCCCGATGACGGTTCACAGTTCTTCGTCAGCCAGTGTGGTTTCGTGGAACGGATCGACGCCAACGGTCTCGCCATCGGAGATGAACGCATGTGTGATCGCCGAGCACAACATACGCGTGGGCCACAACACACATAGTGTCTACATCACCTGCAGGACGTGCAGGAAGCATGCGTCATGGCTTCGCAGGAATCGCATGACCCATGAGCCAGACTTTTCGAGGATGCACAATAGTCTGCGCTGGGATTTGCAGAATAGATGGAGGCAGCTACAAGGGTTGCCCGGCAAGGCGAAAGCTCAAAATATGATTTCGTGATGCCCGCCGCCGCTCTATACTTGGCGCCACATTGTGTGGCAGATTATGTTAGTCCGCATCGTTTTGTCAGCCCGCTTCTCTATACTTGGCGCCACATCGCGTGGCAGACTACGTTAGTCCGAATTGTCTTACCAGCTCGTTTTCTTTACACCTGGCGCCACATCTTGTGGCAGACTACGCTAGTCCGCATAGTTCGAAGCTTCATTCAGTGTGCACAGTTTTTTTATGTGGTGACGACCACACTATTGAGACTTTATATTGATAAGATAGCGCTATTTGAGTTTTGTCGCATAGCGATCGGACTCGCGCTGCTGTTTGCTTTGAGAATTTATGTGTTTCTTGCCGGTGCGTGTAGCAGCCCCCGTTAAATGCCCAGAGGCAGCCGGATAGCATGCCGACAAGGCCGTTTGCCTGTGTTTGTTTTGGAGCGCTCTGATTAATGAAGTGAGCTGCGATCGGTGATCGTCGCTCGACGGCGCCGCGAGCGTCGATCAGGAGGAGTGTGATTCCCGCTCACTCCCCGTGCCCTTGTGCTCCTTCCCTGCTCTCCCGCTCTATCCCTCATGCCCGCCTTGTCGCTGCCATTTTGTTTCGAACTAGGGCCCTTGGCCTTAGAGCTACGCAGATAGATTGAGCAGCGCTCTCTTTCGCCAAAAGATCGTCGCGCCGCGCGCGCCATCCATATCACACTCTGGGCACCTCCCCCGGGGCCGGTTGTGCGAGGATGTCTCAAGCGAGGGCGCCCGTTGGGGATTTGTCGGCGGATCCACCGGATCCACCGGATCTGTCCGGAAACGGTGCCGGAGGCCGCTCTGGGCTCCTCTGGGCACCTCCCCCGGGGCCGGTTTTGTGAGGATGTCTCAAGCGAGGGCGCCGGTTTGGGATTCGTCGGATCCAGCGGATCCACCGGATCTGTCCGGAAACGGTGCCGGAGGCCGCTCTGGGCTCCTCTGGGCACCTCCCCCGGGGCCGGTTTTGTGAGGATGTCTCAAGCGAGGGCGCCGGTTTGGGATTCGTCGGCGGATCCACCGATCCACGGATCCAGCGGATCTGTCCGGATCTGTCCGGAAACGGTGCCGGAGGCCGCTCTGGGCTCCTCTGGGCACCTCCCCCGGGGCCGGTTTTGTGAGGATGTCTCAAGCGAGGGCGCCGGTTTGGGATTCGTCGGCGGATCCACCGGATCTGTCCGGAAACGGTGCCGGAGGCCGCTCTGGGCTCCTCTGGGCACCTCCCCCGGGGCCGGTTTTGTGAGGATGTCTCAAGCGAGGGCGCCGGTTTGGGATTCGTCGGCGGATCCACCGGATCTGTCCGGAAACGGTGCCGGAGGCCGCTCTGGGCTCCTCTGCTCCCCGCGCCGGGGGTGAGGATGACGGTAGTTCCATAGAAACTCCCTCAAATTAGAACCCTTGTCGGGGGGTGGATCACGTCCTCTAATTTTCAAGAGCAGGAGCCGTGCCCACGCTGTCTGTGCCCGCCTCATTCTTTCCGCTATTTGTGGCAATGGCTCGCGCTGCTCGTGTCGTCCAGCCCCCATCATGTCCCATCGAACGCTTGGGTTTGCTCTGGCCGTCTCGTGCGTGGCTCAGTCTTGTTGTCGTCGCCGTTCCACACCTTCACAATCATACTAGAACTTCGACCCCGCTCAGTGCGAGGTCGATCGGAACCATTCTACGGCTGGTCCGCCACCAGGTTGCGCGTCCAGCGACTTGAAGGACCAGGCCCGCGGCTACGTTCCTGGAGTCGGAGGAGTCGGAGGAGTCGGAGGAGTCGGAGGAGTCGGAGGAGGGGGGGAGGAGGAGGAGGAGGAGGAGGAGGAGGAGGAGGAGGGAGGAGGAGGAGGAGGAGGAGGAGGGAGGAGGGGGAGGATGAGGACGAGGAGGGGGAGGAGGAGGAGGAGGGCGAGGAGGAGGAGGAGGAGGAGGAGGAGGAGGAAATGGAGATGGAGGACGGGGAGGTATGAGGAAGAGGGGGGGGGGGGGAGGAGGGGGGGGGGAGGAGGAGGGGGGGGAGGAGGATCTGAGCGTCTGAGATTGGAGGAGGAGGAGGGGGGAGGAAAGCCGGGTGCCCGCGCAGGAGGAGGAGGAGGAGGAGGGGGATGAGGAATTGGAGGAAGAGGAGGAGGAGGCGTCTGAGCTTGGAGGAGGAGGAGGACAACTGGGTGCCCGCGGAGGAGGTGGGGGGGGGGGAGGAGGAGGCCGAGGGTCTCGTGCCCCTCCTCTCGCCCTTGTGGAAGCGCAGGGTTGGACTAAGGCGCATGGGTGAGCGACGGGTCCCGTTCCCATGCGTCGAGCCGCGACGACGACGACGCATTCCGTCGCCAAATCAGGCAGCGCCAGCCCCGTCTCCAGGGGGGCGCTTTGCCCGATCCGTGCGTTTGGCGCCTACGCGCCAGATCCACGGATTCCCAGTCCGTGTTAGCTTGTGCCCGATACCTCTTCTTTGTTGCAGTGCATTAGTTTGCTGCGCAGCAGCCGTGTGCCTGCCCGACCGACGCGCGCGGTCGCCAGGTCTGCCAAAAAGTGCACGACGCCCCCCTCGCAAAAATATCTGCTGGCTCAGGATCGGGTCGGGCCTGGCCGTGGGGGCACCTTTTTCAGCCATATGTCGCGGCGCAACCTCGGCGTCGCCACCGGCTACGGCAGGTTGGTTCGTGCCGTGTCGACGCGGGGGCGACCCGAACACGGGTCAAGGTTGAACGCCGCCAAAGGTGCATAATCGGCCGATACCGAAAGATCTGTGCTATCAGGAAGCTGCGATCGCTCAAGGGTGAACGATCCTCGCGGTGTCAGAAACCAACGCCCACGTCAGCGCGACGTGAACCTTCAGTACTCCCCCCGCTCCACAATCTACTAATACTATGCGTGCGTTGCTACCCGCAGGGGCGACGCGCGCGCCGAGAAATCTTGTAGTGTACGTTCGGTGGCGGGCGCCTTCAGGCCATAGCATTCGGGAGACGATGGGCTACATGATGGTTGTACGAGAACTCTGGGTCGGGCGCACGCCTCCAAGGAGGACACATAGTTCTAGTATGTTTTTTTGCGTCCCAAGCGAGGGGGCCTCGTCAGCGCGCTCGCCAGCTGGCTTGCCGGCCGCGAGGCGGCCGCAGGCAGGTCCCGCAAACGGCGTCGCGCGCGGCGGCTCGGTTCGAGCACCGCCTGGTCGAGTGCTCGAACTGGTCACCGGCGGCCGTGCTCAGGCACCCCACGGCCACCACGAGATTGCGAAGTTAGTCGCGCTTCGCGTTTCGCGGTCTGGGTGATTTCAGAGCGAGGCGCGAGTCCCTCATCCTGTCCCGAAAGGGGGTGGGAGTGGGTGGCGCGAAGGCGCGAAGAGAATCGCCATTCCCGCTTCGCAGAGCGCGAAGCGCGATGATGGTTGCCTTAGGGCACCGTTGCTCCCTCCGCTATCGGCGGCGACGGCGACGCCGGGAATGGAGGCCCTGGCCGCGGTGCAGCCCCGCGGCGACGGGCCTGCGGGCGCCGGCGGCTCCTGGCTGCTGTGCTTCTCGGCCGACGGGAAGCTGCGCCTGTGGGAGGCCGCCGGCCGCCTAAACTGAAGTCGGGCCTGTTCTTCTACAGGAGGAGTGTTCAACACTAGTTTTGATAGGGGGCGTTTTTTCGACAATTTTTTGATTTTTTTGGGGTATTTTATGACTATTCTTCTTTCCGTCCAAAATCCGCCTGTAGGGGACACGACCGACTTAGCCTAAACATATTTTTTCGGAAGGACCAGTCCCCCCATCATCCTTCTTCTCTCTCTCCACCGTCGCCATCGACGACGACGCGATTGCGACGAGGGAGTTCCGGATATCTTTGGTTGTTTATCCGCCGGCCCTTTTTTGCGGGGCCATCAGGTTTCGAGGATTAGGCTTGCTGCTCCGTGCTCCAGTTTTCCTTTCCACTGTCCACTGTGATAGTTCAACGTTCTGCTTCCTATTGTAAATTGTTGAAACCGCGCGAGGGGGGGAACCGAAAAGCAGCCTGGTTAGCGTCCCCCCCGGGGTTCTTAGAATTCCTGGGGGGGGCGCGGGATAGGTAAAAATACATGAGAATCGCGCCCCGAGGTCGTAAAATACGCTATGCTCGCGTTCCCGAAGCCATGAACCCTCGTAAATTCAATCATGTTTGCGTCCCAGGCGCCAAGATCTTTAGATATTACATGATATTCGCGACCACGAAGCCACGAACCTTCGTAAATGATACACTATTCGCGTCACCGAGGCCATCATCCCTTGTAACTTAAACAATGTTCGCTTCCCCAGGCCACAAACCTTCATCAATTACACAATATTCGCGTCCCCGAGGCCATGATGTTTGTAACTTGCACAATATTCGCGCCCCCGAAGCAACAAACCCTCGTACATTACGCAATGTTCGCGCCCCCGTATCGTAAATTAGTCAGTATGTTCGACGTCGAAAGCATAAACCTTCGTACATGACACAATATTCGCGCCCACGAGGCCACGATCACTCGTGAATTACGGAATTTTTGCCTCCCTGATGCCACGATCCTTTGCAAATTACCCCCAAGAGGCGCCCAAACCGCCTCCAATAGGCTCTTCTAGGGCTTCCCACGACACCCCAACACATATATACAAGAGGCCTCAGACCCACTACTCAGGCACGGTGGCGGGATGGGCCGAAGGCCACTAGGATCCGCCGCCCCCTGCTTGCAGGGGTGCACGGCGTGCTGGACGTTTCAGGTTTTGGTTTTGGTTCTTTTTCCAAAAGAACTTCCCCAGTGGGCTCCGGCACGTCCCGCCGGGGTCCCGGGAGGAAGCCGAAAGGACCTCAATCCGGAAACAAATCCTCCAAAAACGGCCGTTTCGCTCGGGACATCCTCAAAAAATCTCGAAGATGGCCCAAGATGGCCTCCAAGTCCGCCCGAGATGGTCCAAGACGGCCTCCAAAACGGCCCACGAGAGTCCAAGACGGCCCAAGACGGCCCAAGAGGCCCCCCAGAGGCCTCCCAGACGGCCCAAGAGGCCTCCAAGAGGTCCTCCAGGAGAGTCCGAAGAGGCCAAAATCATTGATTTTCCATTGGTTTTTGAAGGATTTTGGCATTTGCGCCTTTTCGGCTCTCCGACGGCTCAAGACGGCCCAAGAAGCCCCCAAGATCGCCCAAGAGGCCCCCAAGAGAGCCCCCTGATGGCCCAAGTGGCCTCCAAGATGGCCCCTAGAGGGCCCCAAGACGGCCCAAGAGGCCTCCAACACGCCCAAGATGGCCTCCAAGACGCCCAAGATGGCCTCCAAGACGGCCCTGGAGCGCCCCAAGAGGGTCCCCCGTTGGCCCAGAAAGGCCCCCAAAACGGCTCCCGACGGCGTCAGACGTGCCAGGAACCCACCAAGATGGCCGAAGTTGGCTCGAAGCTGGCCCAAAAGGGCCCAAGAGGCCCCCAAGAGGGCCTCCAGGAAGGCCAAAAGATGCCAAAATCACTGATTTTCCCAAGGTTTTTGATGGATTTGGGCATTTCCCTTTTTTCGGCCTTCCGACGGCCCGAGACGGCCCAAGAGCCCCCAAAGATCGCCGAAAGATCGCCCAAGAGGCCTCCAAGACGGCGACGATGACCATCAAGACGCCCACGTGTTCCCCGAAGGCTTTCCAAACCGATTCGGGGAACACATGGTCCGATGGCTTGGCAGGTCTGGCCTCAACGTTCGGCCACATAGGCGCTTCCACAAAGGCAGGGGGCGGCGGTGATTCGCCGTAGGCGTCTTCGATCCGCCGCCCCCTGCTTGCAGGGGTGCACGGCGTGCTGGATGATTCAGTTTTGGTTTTGGTTCTTTTTCTAAAAGAACTCCCCAGTGGGCTTCGGCCTGTCCCGCCGGCCACCCGTAAATTTCCCAAAATGCGTCTGTCAATGCCCAAAAACGGCCGTTTCGCTCGGGACATCCTCAAAAAATCGCGAAGATGGCCCAAGATGGCCTCCAAGTCCGCCCGAGATGGTCCAAGACGGCCTCCAAAACGGCCCAAGAGAGTCCAAGACGGCCCAAGACGGCCCAAGAGGCCCCCCAGAGGCCTCCCAGACGGCCCAAGAGGCCTCCAAGAGGTCCTCCAGGAGAGTCCGAAGAGGCCAAAATCATTGATTTTCCATTGGTTTTTGAAGGATTTTGGCATTTGCGCCTTTTCGGCTCTCCGACGGCTCAAGACGGCCCAAGAAGCCCCCAAGATCGCCCAAGAGGCCCCCAAGAGAGCCCCATGATGGCCCAAGTGGCCTCCAAGATGGCCCCTAGAGGGCCCCAAGAGGGCCCAAGAGGCCTCCAACACGCCCAAGATGGCCTCCAAGACGCCCAAGATGGCCTCCAAGACGGCCCTGGAGCGCCCCAAGAGGGTCCCCCGTTGGCCCAGAAAGGCCCCCAAAACGGCTCCCGACGGCGTCAGACGTGCCAGGAACCCACCAAGATGGCCGAAGTTGGCTCGAAGCTGGCCCAAAAGGGCCCAAGAGGCCCCCAAGAGGGCCTCCAGGAAGGCCAAAAGATGCCAAAATCACTGATTTTCCCAAGGTTTTTGATGGATTTGGGCATTTCCCTTTTTTCGGCCTTCCGACGGCCCGAGACGGCCCAAGAGCCCCCAAAGATCGCCGAAAGATCGCCCAAGAGGCCTCCAAGACGGCGACGATGACCATCAAGACGCCCACGTGTTCCCCGAAGGCTTTCCAAACCGATTCGGGGAACACATGGTCCGATGGCTTGGCAGGTCTGGCCTCAACGTTCGGCCACATAGGCGCTTCCACAAAGGCAGGGGGCGGCGGTGATTCGCCGTAGGCGTCTTCGATCCGCCGCCCCCTGTGGTCTTGCCACAGGGGTGCACGGCGTGCTGGATGTTTCCGGTTTTGGTTTTGTTTTTTTTTCTAAAAGAACTCCCCAGTGGGCTTCGGCCCGTCCCGCCGGCCACCCGCAAGTTTCCGAAAATCCATCTGTCAATGCCTTTGTTGCCCCAACTTGGCCCAAGATGGCCTCCAAGACGGCCAAGATGGCCCAAGATGGCCTCCAAGATGCTTCCAAGACGGCCAAGATGGCCTCCAAGACGGGTAAGATGGCTCCAAGATGCACCCAAGACGGCCCAAGATGGCCTCAAGATGGTCTACGACGGCCCAAAAGGCCCGCAAAAGGCCTCCAAGACGGCCCAAGAGCCCTCCAAGACGCCCTCCAGGAAGGCCCGAATAGGTTAAAATCATTGATTTTCCTTAGGTTTTTCAAGGATTTTGGCATGTTCTTCTTCTCAGCTCTCCGACGGCCCAAGACGGCCCAAGAGGTCCCCAACATCGCCCCAACAGCACCCAAGAGGCCTCCAAGATGGCCCCATGACGGCCCAAGAGGCCCCCAAGAAGGCCCCAAGAGGGTCTCAAGACGGCCCAAGAGGCCTCCAAGACGCCCAAGATGGCCTCCAAGACGGCCAAGATGGCCCAAGATGGCCTCCAAGATGCCTCCAAGACGGCCAAGATGGCCTCCAAGACGGGTAAGATGGCTCCAAGATGCACCCAAGACGGTCCAAGATGGCCTCAACATGGTCTAAGACGGCCCAAAAGGCCGGCAAAAGGCCTCCAAGACGGCCCAAGAGCCTTCCAAGACGCCCTCCAGGAAGGCCCGAATAGGTTAAAATCATTGATTTTCATAAGGTTTTTGAAGGATTTTGGCATGTTCTTCTTTTCATCTCTCCGACGGCCCCAGACGGCCCATGAGGTCCCCAACATCGCCCCAACAGCACCCAAGAGGCCTCCAAGATGGCCCCATGACGCCCAAGAGGCCCCCAAGAAGGCCCCAAGAGGGCCTCAAGACGGCCCAAGAGGCCTCCAAGACGCCCAAGATGGCCTCCAAGACGGCCAAGATGGCCCAAGATGGCCTCCAAGATGCCTCCAAGACGGCCTAAATGGCCTCCAAGACGGGTAAGATGGCTCCAAGATGCACCCAAGACGGCCCAAGATGGCCTCAAGATGGTCTACGACGGCCCAAAAGGCCTGCAAAAGGCTTCCAAGACGGCCCAAGAGCCCTCCAAGACGCCCTCCAAGACGGCCAAGATGCTTCCAAGACCGCACATGTGGCCCAATATAAACCCAGAGTAGCCAAAAAGGCACTCAAGAGACCTCCTCCTCCATTCCCCCCCTTCCTATCTCTCCTCTCCTCCCCGTCCTCCCCCACGTGTTCCCCGAAGGCTGTAAAGACCGATTCGGGGAACATATGGCCCAATAACTTGGCAGACCTCTGGCCACAGCAGTCGGCCGCATCGGCGCTTCCGAAAGGGCAGGGGGCGGCGGTGATTCGCCGTAGGCGTCTTCGATCCGCCGCCCCCTGTCGATTCATCGCAGGGGTGCCTTGCGTGCCAGACCCTTTTTTTTTGTCCATAAGAACTCTCCCAGTGGGTTTCGGCCCGTCCCGCCGGGGTCCCGGGAGGCCCTTCCACGTGCACAAACTCCGGAACAAATCCTCCCTGAAACGGCCGTTTCGCTCGGGACATCCTCAACAAATCGCGAAGATGGCCCAAGATGGCCTCCAAGTCCGCCCAAGATGGTCCAAGACGGCCTCCAAGACGGCCCAA